CAATACCATAGCGAATGCTTGATTTTAAGAATGATCATTTCAAACGGAAGACACTCCCCTTCAAAAGTGTGTCTATTACTTTCCAACCAAATTTCCCACATAATTACACCCCTGACTATGTTCCAAATAGCTTTTCCGACCTCTGGTAAACTAGATATAGAACTACCAATCACATTTTGAGGTAGGGGCATGCTAATACCTATCACAACCAAATACCAATGCCAAATCCTTGCAGCAAAATGGCAATATTATGTGTCTTCCTTACATATTAAATAAATGTTTGGAAGAATTTTCTCTTACTTGATAAGATTATCAACAGTGAGAATCTTATCTTGTGCCATAAGCCAAATAAAAATTTGAACTTTATGAGGTACCGGCCATTTCACAACATCATAAAAGAGAAGTATGTAACAAGCCTTAACTCAAAACACACCATCACTTCCCTCCTCCCATATAACCTCATCATTTGAGGCAATTGGAATGTAAACCCCTTTCAACATTTCCAAGAGAAAAGATAGTTACACAATAAGATCAAAACTAAGCTTGTTATATGGTCACATTCCATAAAACATGGTTGCCCACTCCTTCATAAATCTCAGCAACCTTGGCATTTGGTTTGGTTACCTTATCAAATAAGTCATTGAATAAGAGTTTCAAAGAACAGTCCACAACCCACTTATGGTGACAAAAGGAGATGTGTAATCCGTCACCAACTATCCATCAAATAGCAATAGATCTCCAAAAGAAAGACGCATTTCCACCCCTACCAACTCCTAGCCACATGTCTTGTTTATCCATTCCATATTTGCAGCCAAAACTTTAAACCATAACTGATCTTTAAAGATGAGACTCTGCTACCACTATTTAACTTCGTTTACTAATTTAACTCTCCGGATCCCGAAACCTCCTTCATTTTTTGGAGTACAAACTCTATCATATATCAAAAGATAATATTTTCTATCATTACCATAAAAGCCCCACAAAAAGTCACGCATCATCTTCTCTATTTTCTTACAAACAGCTGCAGGCATTTGAAAGAAAGACATCTGGTAAATGGGTAGCTTAGCTAAACACAATTGTAATAGGGTAGCCTTCCTTCTAAAGACATGAATTTTGGCTTCTAAATATCTAACTTAATTTAAACACGATGGAAAACTGAATCCCAAGCAGAAATAGATAACCTTCTATCTGAAAATAGGCAAACCCATATATAAGTTAGAAAACCCTAAAGGGACCTTTCATTTAGTATTGTGTGCTTAATTGTGGGAAGATAAATAAATGTTGGTACCTATTTTTCTACATTTAAATTTTGCTATTGTAATAATTTTCAAGTTCAATGAAGCTTAACAAAGTTCATATTGAAGGTAAGTCAAAGTAATTCCTTTTGTTTTATTTTTTCTATTTGTTTGTATTTCTTAGGTGTTTATATTGAAGGTAAGTCATAGTAATTCTTTTTATTTATCTATTGCATTACCTTTGTTTGTATTTTTTTAGGCATTCTTTGTATTTTTTAGGTGTTTATATTGAAGGTAAGTCTAATTCTTTTTAGTTATTTTTGCATTATCTTTGGTTGTATTTTGTTCACATTAGTCTTTGAAGGTAACAGAAACATTGATTTTCCCAATGTACGCAATTATTATTATTTTTTAAATTTCACTAGTACTTGCTTTGAATTAATTTGTACATGTTCTTATTTTACGGACGTTCTATTTGAAGTAAAAAATAATAAACAAAAATTATAAGCAATGAAAATAATTAACAAATTTTTACTCTACCTCACAACATTAATGAGTTTTTGGATAAACTAATATTTCACAAGGCTTTTCTACACCAATGACAAATACTATTCCTTCATCATCAAACATATTCTCCAATAGCAATATTTTTTTCCAGTCAGAGAGAAAAGATCCTTATGTAATATTGACAATGACAATGGTATGAACTCAAAATCATTGTCGTTCTATCCAAATTTTCCTCACATATTTTTTGGAGAAAAAAATTGTAACAAATTATAAATGTTTGTTACTTTTTCTTTTTAATTATACCTACTTCTCCTTATTATTGCAGTTAAAAAAATTTTATTATCCAAGGGGTGACTCATGATTAATCAAGTTTTTTATTTATAGATCTCTTTGATCAATAAATATTTAGTTAATATGTTACAATTAATCATTTTGGAATAATGATAATGTTATTATTAGAAATCTTTTTGGAATGGTGTGATGATGCTTTTAATTCAGTATTTTAGTAGAATTTTGTGACAAAAAAAATAATATGATAATTCTACATTTTAGTGGAATTTGGTAACAAAAAAGAAAGAAATGATAGTTTATAGGCACGTGCTGGTAAAATGTTGGTAACGCAATTCCTATATTTTTTCCAAACATTGCCAAACAATAATAATGTATCTGCTAGGTTGCATCTAAATACTACTCAAACATTAACAATCCATTTACCGGTAATATATTATTACGCCAGTAATATAATTTAGAAACGTATGCAAACGGGCCTTAAAGGAACACAGATGCCCGTCCTCCTCGCTTGCTGGGCATAAACACGCTCAAATTTTCACAAAAAAACAATACCGTAGTATAATTTAGTACGCTTCAAAATGGTATCAAAATGGGAGGCAAACATGAATGGCAAGTGATAAATTTTGAAGAAATATTGGCATAATACGCATCCAGAAAAGCACAATAAACTTTTTAGAGAAGTCAAAATGTAATTACCAACAATTAGTTAACAATATAGAGCTGTGCAAAAACATTAAAAAAAACGAAAAAAGTTGTGCACCATAATCTAGTGTAACCCACATTTACAACTGGACTAAACACCACTGGTTTATTGTTTTGAGCCTACATATTACCTTATATCCACATAATGAGTGGGTTTCCTAACTTCCTGTGCTAGTGAAAATAAAATAAAATAAGAAATAGAAATATATATATACCCACTAGACCAAATTTATCCCCCACAATACTTTTTAAATCACACCATCAACTCAATTACTTTTATTTTTTGGGTCAACCCCAAAGAAGAAAAAAGTTTTGTTTTGGAATACTCCCATTTAGAAATCCACAATTCTGTTTCTAAAATTGGAATTTGGAATTTAGAAAGAGAAACTATTTCAAAATTTCTAGAGAGAAAAAATTATATATAGTTTCAAGTTTTTAGAGAGAGAAACTATCTCAAAAATTTTAGAAAAAAAACTATCTTAAAACTTTTAGAGAGAGAGTCTTAGGATTATGCATGGGGATATTTTCATCCAAAGTAAAGCCATTTTCTTCTTTAAGGTTGGCTGAAAGATAAATAATAATTAGGTTCGTTAATGATTTATAAAGTATTGGGGAGCATCATGCTTAGAAAGTATGGTCCATGGGAAAAAATTTATGAGCAGCTAGCCCGACCATAGCAAAGTCAAGCAATTTAATTTTTGTAATATATATTTATATTTTTTATTTTTATCTCTATCTAAAAAAATTGGTCTAACTGATACAACTGACAGTTAAATTGATTTCAAGACCCTCCACTAGTTCAATAGCCGGACCCTCAATCAGTTGGCAGGTCCAATCATAAAGACATCGGATATCATACAACCATTGTACGTCCTATGTGAAAGCCACACATTTTCTTGTGCACCCCCTATTCTACGTACTCTATTCCATCTTAAAGCAATGTAGCAAGGAATAGTAAGTGTACTGGTTGTCACGATGAACCATTGACTCAAGGTTGTGAAGGGATAAGATGAAGGACCACTCTTACCATTAAGAGGATGTGTCGCTTTTAGCTAACATCATTCAGCTGCATGCTTAAACGTGGGGCCCCCTTTCATGAAATTAACATTTGTTCCAAGTAAAATTGGATTGCCACAATATGTACGAAGTTCGAGAAAAAAAAGCTTCACATCTAGTGACTAACGGTGATTGTGACTTTTTTATACTAATTTGTTTGAGTGCATCCAATTTGTCAATCTTTTTAGATGTATTTATTCAATGAAAGTGAGCATCTAAGCGAACATTATTGGGTTAACATTAAGATGAGCCAAGGTTTTGCCGTCAAAACTGAACTGCTTAGGATAGAGTCTCCATCCAATTTTATCGGATATCTCTGATAAGATAAAGAAAGGCTAGGTTAGCTTGGGCTATTCAGACAAATTTCAAATATTCAAGCCCTTGGCTTCCCTTACCCAAACTGATACATCTACCACTTATCTAAAGCCTAGAGAACATCACTATTCCTATTTATATCCACGTGGCTATTCGCTTTTATGATAAGATTTTCGACCCAATGTCACCTAATGGTGTTTCTAAGTGTTAATTACTTTGCCTAACAATGCTATTAGACCAATTCAATGCACCCAACCTAATGTCTTACTCATCATAGTGCTAACCTACTTCACTAGATCAGTCTCTTTTATCCATCATCATCATGGTCATCATCAAGGTGCAATTCGTCTAAGGCATGGGACCATACATACGTAAGGTTTCACTATTCAAAAGTTTTATGATCGACAAGGAGAATCACCCATTATTGCATGGTAATAAATAAAACATTTAAGGCCTGTTTCCTTTATAAGTAAGATTCTTTACCTTCTTGACTCAAGGTGGAACCTCTCATAAAGTTCCCGTAAGGAAAAGAGACCTTACTCCCGATAACTAGCAATCAGTTGCATGGAATAAATGCTATAACATTCTATACTTGGCCCACATCTAGTTTGTGGTTACAATTGCTTTTTGTAAGGCTATGCACATGTATAACATAGGTGTTTGGAAACACCAAGCCATCCGAGCAAGATGGTTAGTTGGAAATGAGCAATAATAATGTTACTCTTCTGTTATGACATGAGAAATACAAATGTGACATTGATTTTAATTCACTATCGGCCGTTTGATCAAGATCAAATAGTTGTGGATCTCAATACACACATGAATTAAATGTGCATACATAAAGAGATTTCCATTTAATTTAGTTTATCTTCACCAACACCAACACCAACACCACCACCACCACCACGATAATCGTCCTCGTCATTGTCGTAATTGTCATCAATACATTGTTTTCACCGTGAATTGAAAGCCACCCACTTTCTGTGTCACTTGAAAGCGTTATCTTCACATAAACTTCTCTCATGATCTTACCTCAAAGTGGTTCTAGAAATAGTTGGAAGTGTCTTCAATTTGCTCATGATGGAAGAGGGGAAGGCCCATAATGGTAGATCAATTGTGGCATGTGGAAGCCAAAATAGGTGCATTATGAATTCTTCTGGTCTTGGGAAGATTGCAGAAGCTTTAGAGAAGAGAGGGCAATCTTGGTAGGTAGTTTTAAAGAGTCTTAAATTTGCAAAAGTCAAAATCTTCATTTCCTTTCATTTTTCTGGTCCCCCTCTTTTTGGGTCTCTTAATTTATTTTACAGGTTTGTGTATAGCAAATTCAAGAGTGATCTCAAGATACATGTGGCTGATACATGCTTCCACGTCCACAAGGTATAATAAGCCTCTCATTTTCTTTAAAACTTAAATTACCATTATTTCTTTTAAGCTTAGTGGGTCTCAAATTCAAAAAGGTTTAAAATTAGTTTTCCCATGAAAATCAGCCAAGTTTTTTCAGCCCAAAATCCAGTGTTGATTTCCAATGCATATGGAATCTATAGCTTTAGTTTCACTCAATTGGCATTACTTGCAGATGGTTGGCATTACTTGCAGATGGTTCCAATATTTTTACTATTGCCCATGACCAAGCAAATTTATTCAAGTACTTAAAAAATACCCCTGTTCCATTCAAAATTTTAAATACCAGAATGACTCCATCTTCAGCTGGTTCACCACTTGGTTCTTTTCTCACTGGTGCACTCATGGTTCTTGTTTCCAAGTTTACTTTTCCTTTTGGTTCATTTTCATTGTGTTCCACAGCTTCCTCTAATATGCAAAAGTGGCTACTTGAGCCAACAAGTTTCTACACACAAAGCAAGCCATGACACTGAACATGAAGTATCAATCGACGACATCCCAGGAGGTGCCATGACTTTTTTGTTGGTGATAAAATTTTGCTATGGACTACCCCTTGAGCTCACTTCTTCCAATATTGCGCCTCTTAGGTGTGCAGCCGAGTTCCTAGAGATGACTGAGCTCATCTGCCAAGGAAACCTTATCTCAAAAGCAGAAGTATTTTTCACCTTTCTCATTCTCTCTTCATGGAGGGAACCCTTCGAAGTGTTAAATTATTGTGAGTCTATCTCATCTTGGGCTGAGAAATTGAACATAGTGAACCGATGCGCCGAAGCGATCGCCTGGAAGGCTTGCACTGCCCCCTTGGCTCCCAATAAGTTGTGGGTCACCGATGTTTTGCAACTTAGATATGATCATTTTGTGACAGTGATGAAATCCCTGAGATCTAGAAACATGAAGGAAAGTATAATTGGGCCATGCTTAATTCGGTATTTTAATTATTGGGTCCCAAAAGCCAAACAAAATTACAATGAAGAACACAGGACCATGTTAGAAAGTTTGATAGGCATAATGCCATGGAAGGAGGACTCCATTTCATGTGAGTTTTTGTTAGATCTTCTTAAATCAAGTTTAATATTGGGGGTGAAGGAGTCATTAGTGGAGGATTTGGTGAAAAGAGTGGGGATAACACTAGAGAAGTGCACCCTTGATGGGCTAATCGTGGTTTCAAAATATGATAACATCAAGAAACCAAGATATGATTTGAGATTAATGAGGAGGATTGTGCAACACTTCATGATGGAGAATGGTTTCCATGGATCAAATGATCCTATAAGTGGGTCTGGTAATTTGTCTGCCGTGGCAGTGGCAAGGCTCATCGATGCGTACTTGGCTGAGGTCGGGAGTGATTCTAGTGTGATACTCAACGAATTCAAGTGGCTCGCAGAGGCATTGCCAGAAAATGCTAGGTCATGCCATGATCGTCTATACACAGCCATAGATACCTATCTTAAGGTGAGATTTATTTCTATTTTCTTTGGATGTGTGTGTGTGTGTGTGTGGGGGGGGGGGGAGTGGGGAGTGGTGTAGTTCAGCAGTGGGAATCAAACTTGGGACATGGTTATGCAATCATCAATCACTAATCAATCAAACCCAGGGCTGATTTATTACTCTAGCAAAGATAATATTTCCTCTTTCATGCTACTCTCTGTGTGCAAAGGGTCTTTGAATTGGGGGAGCACTAGTGTTTATTGGTAACTTGAATAATGTCTATCTAATAAACAATGTACTTCTACTTTATTTATTCCTGAGAGCCAGCAAATTTAAAGGGAAACCATTTTGCTCCCTTTTTGACCCGTTGTAGTTTTTAATCTTTTGATACTTTTTCAACGGTTATATGCAGTAGACATGCGTTTGCTGCTTATGCTTTCTTATCTATAACATATACTTTTTAAATACTCTATTAACTATTTAAGAAATATGAACTTTTCATTAGCTTATCTTCTATTATACCTTACAACTGTTAAATATAAATCAAAAATTGAATGTAACTAATTCTCATAGATGGTATAGCCATTTAAGTTGTGAAGGGTATTGTAGTAAAAAGACCGAAACCATCAAGAGCACAAACTTGTGGGCGCATTTTAGGAAAAAATTTGTGAAGTATCACAAGTGTAAAATAAATCTTATACTCATGCGGAAGCACAATGTCCATCTTCTCCCACGGGTAAAACCCTAGGTAGGACTATTTTTAGGACACCAAATTTTGGAAATTTGACCTATTCGACTTAGTGACAACAAGAAAAAGCATACACACTCTTAGAAGGGTTTGACAAGAAATCAAGCCCTGGTTGGACACAGTCAGTCTAACTTTTGGACATGTATACGAACTCAAAGTCTCTTTTTCTTTCAAATTTGAAGTTTGTCAGTGACTGTAAAGTGGATAAAGAAATTTCCGATCAAAAAATTCCCAGTGAGTGGATCTTTTCCCCAATGGAGCAAATCTACCACTCCCATGGGAACACAGTATACGGGCTCAAAATCAACTTTAAAATATTGAAAGAATTACACTAACAAAAATATAGCTTCTTCGAAGAAGTGAACCATATCTCCAGCAAAAATATTTTTCTCAGTATACGGTTTTCATGTGTAAGCAGGCACACCCTTCCTTAACTGAACAACAGAGAAAGATGCTTTGCCTATCCATGGACTACCACAAATTGTCTATGGAGGCCAAGCTTCATGCTGCCAAGAATGATCGTCTACCACTAAGGTTTACCCTTAAAGTGCTTCTCTTTGAGCAACTCAACATTAATAGCTCATGTCTGATGCCTAAGGTAAAGTCCACAGTACTTACTCCAAGGAAGAACAGGCTCAACAACCAGTGCACATCTTCACAAGAGCTCAAAACAATCAAATCAGAGTTGGAGTTGATGAACAATGACGTTGAGAGCCTAAGAAACTATTCATGGCTTCAACAAGAATCCAATGGGATAAAGAGGAGTAGTGGTTGGGGATGGCATACAAGACGGAAGAAAACAAGAGACACTTCTTCTATTACGGATGAAACATCAGAGACCCATGTTGATTCTCTTAAGTTTCCGAAGCTGCACCCTACTTTGTGGAGATGGCGAAGGAATTCCATATCTTGATTGTATGGTTTAGAAATGTAGGTTGTATTAACTAATCTCTTAGCAACAGATTTAGAACTGAGCACTTGTGCAAGTCTAATTTGTGAATGTGAATCTTCTTATGTGCCTCGACCTACATAACATTTATAAGCCAGGAGACAGCTATCTCATGATCGGATAGCTGGAAGTGAATTGAGAAAAATAACACAGGTTGGTGTCAGCCTTATTTGTCAGGACATAGTTAGTGCACTATTCGTGTATTATTATTTTCTTTTATCTATGTCATACTCAAGCTTAAATATCATTGGAAAACTAACCATGTTAGTGTTCTTCACGCTGAGGCTTGCACTACTTAGATCATGGTCTAGAGACATTTGTGTGCTTGGCATGAGAGAGTGGGGAAGTTTTTAGCCCACGATGGAGAAGTATCACGCTATCTCTTTTGCAGATTGGGATTGGCATATTCCGACAGCTAAAGTATTGAATCTGTAAAATGGGTTGAGAACTTGGAAAATAAAAACCATGAGCATAGAGCTGCATGCTTCTATAGCAGAAATATTTTTGGTCACATAACCATATTGATAATTCAACCAGCTTCGTCATTCGGAAAATGAAAAAAGGCCTAGACCAGCTTCATGATTAAAGGGCATTTGGCCCAGAGGTATGCGCAATTCTGATAAGGCTTCTAATCTGAGGGTCTTCTCAGTAAAGTAAGAGGCTTCTAATGGGGATGAGGGTCTTCTCACTGCGCTTCAAATCCGGTTGAGGGTCATCTCACTGCACTTTTATGATCCACTATTAACTGAAGGTAACTCACTAAACATGATTATCTGGGTGCAGTCCAAGGCTCCATGTCCTTTAGGAATTGCTTATACTTTAGCAATCTTTGAAATTAGAGAGTCCCCGGTTTTGTCTGTTCACCAATTCCTCAGGGAGGCCAATGGAAGTTTTTACTCTTTGGCAAGTGGGGTGATTAATCCCAAATCACATCATTAGTATCATACAATTACATGTGTTGATTTGTAGCTTTGCTTATTGTTTATCTTGATGTGATTATTCTCATTTTTTCATGTAATGGGATGCCCTAATGACCAATTTACAAGAAAAGAAAGAAAGAAATGCTCTAATCAAAAGAGTAAAAATAAGGGTGCTGCTAGTTCTTCATTGAAAAAGCAATATTCTTTAAACAGGGTACTTGCAAAATATGCCATTCCAAAGCACGAAAGGCTGCTGCAAACCCATGTTATGAAAGGCTAAAAGCAACACCCAGAGAGATGAGCAAATGCAAGTGTCAAGAATGAATCAAAACACTTTCTGAAAGAGATATCAGAGCATTTCAGTACAGTGTGATTAATTTGTACATTGTGCATGATCTGACTTTTCTTATGAAGACATGCCATTCGAAGTGGCGAGTTCGATTCTTGTAACCATCATGAATGTTTTCTGATATGGATCAAGTTTTTTGACATTGCTTTGGTACGGAAAATCTAGCAAGGTTTTTAAAATTATTATCCTAAAGTATCACTATTTTCGTAACTGCAGCAAAGTTTGCATTTAGAATATCCAAAATTGTTCAGAAACTTGATTTATACCCAAAATGAGGCTTTGTACTTTTAGTTTTCTATTTCCCCTCTTAAGACTACATTACATCGGGAAATGCTTGAAAATCTGAAGGCTGAAACCTTGCTTCCAAAATTTGAATTATGTTGCATAGCGGACCAATAATTCGCCTAAAATGCAGTGTCCATTAATTTCATACAATGTGCAACTCTATTGGTTTTCTCTACTTTTCTCCATTTGAATTTATCAATGATAACATTCTCTATCATATCAGTTAGCACTTAGCAGTAAACTACCATATGTTCTATTGGCTAAGTAAATCTACCATTTTCACTTATTTGCTTTCATGATTGAGATTGGTGCATTCTATAAATGGAGATAAAATGTAGCACAGGTCCAATATGTTAGAAACAGTCACGACATCAGAAGTTCTGATTTTTTTTTTTACCATGCTTTGAACTTCCAAATTTAGGTGTTGGACGATCCAAATTCGATTGCTTCCCATTTATCTGCATTGCCTATCATAAACTTAAATTGTTTAATTAATAGATCTGTATTGCCTATCATAAACTTAAATTGTTTAATTAATAGATCTGTATTGCCTATCATAAACTTAAATTGTTTAATTAACAGATCTGATTGCCTATCATAAACTTAAATTGTTTAATTAATAGAAAATCCTTGAGGCAATCACCTAACTTTCTGCAAAGAAAATCTTCATGAAGACTCTAAAATTGATTTCCAATACTAACTATAAAATTTGAAACCAAAAATTTAGTACAGATCTTAGGGATCTATGAGCACTTATTTTTAGGCGAAATGGACGGTCTAGACAATTTGATACAATAGACACTACTTTTAGAACTTGAAATCCTAATAGCTTTATGACCATAATGTTCAAGTAGAGATGATCGATATTTTTGGGTGAAATGGACAATCTAGATAATTTGTTACAATATATATTATTTTTAGAACTTGAAATCTTAAGTTTTTTACAACCATAATGTTTAAGTGGAGATGATTTATGTAAAGGTTGGTTTTCATTGTAATTTTGGATGAGTTATGAGGTGAGGTTTTAGTTATTTGATAAGGCTGCCATGAACACATCCAAAAAGATGAAGCCAAGAAGCAGGAAAGAGCAGGGCAGTGAGAGGACAAAAGAGCCCTGCAATGCAATGTGTTATATGCCCCACTTAACTTTAAATTGACTAAGAAACAAAGGGGACGTATGCTACTCCCCCACCTTCTAACTACTCAACAAAGGGCAGGCCTGGCCTGGCCTGGCCTGTCATTTCATATGTGTATTTAACTACCCCAAAAAAAGGGCCGTCATTTCATCCAAGGTAAAAGACGCACTTTTGGTCAATATAAAATTTAGATTAGGGACATGGATTATTTGATCAAAGACAGCAATAAAGCCTCCTCGGTAAGTTTGGTATAAAGTGCCCTATATGCAAAAATAGGAAAAAGTTTATATAAGGTTCCAACCTTCAAATGTTGATGCACCTCAAATATCCATTGGAAAAATTTATTTTAATGTTGAAAAACCCTCTAATTAAGCATCGAGATGTATGATTATAAAAGAAAAAATGATTTTGAGTCCCAAAAATAATGCGTCTTACAACAAATTATCTGGATTTTTGAAAAACCCTCTAATTGATCATCTCAATATCTAGATGTATGAATATGAAAAAATGAAAGATTTTGAGTCCCAAAAATATTGCATCTTGCAACATATCATCTAGACCGTCCATTTTCAAGATTTCATTTGTTTATAGATATATTTGATTTTAACTTTTTTTTTTTTTTAAGAGTTTTCAAATTTATAAGAGATATAAAAATAGATTTTTGATAATCCTAAGAATTTTTAACACCAAAAATACATGTTATGATAAAATTTGAGGTGTGCCGATTGTTTACTAGATTTTTTGAGGTGCACCTTCTTTCTACCGTATAAGGTTTCAACCTTATATGAACTTTTTTTCCCCTCATAATTCACCTAACCCCATGAACAAACAAAAGACGGCCATAGTTTTTGACGATAACAATGGAAAGGCAGATATAAAACTCATACGCCACTACCCTCTTTTTGGAGTATAGAAAAAGGAAGAAGAAGAAGCAAAAATGGGAGACAGAAGAAAGGCTGGTTTTATAGGCTTGTATTTGATTCTACTTATCACCATACTATATGGTGGTGGTGGTGGTGGTGGTGGTGGTGGTGGTGGTGATGGAATCTTGGTTGTGGAGAGTGCACCAAACACCAACATCACTCAAGTGCTCTGCAATTCTGGTGTGTACACGAGAGGCGATCCCTTCACGCAAAGCCTGGACTACGTCCTCAAGGACATTCAAAGCTCCACCCCTTCTCGCCCCTCTCGCGATTACAAGACCATCTCTCCATTCCCAAACGCCTTTGCGTACGCAAGAGCCACCTGCACCCCCTCACTCTCTCCTTCTGATTGTGCAACCTGCCTGGTAAGCGCGGTGTCCGTGATGCAGCAGACATGCACCAATCGCATAGGTGCAAGGGCGGTGCTTTACGACTGCTCAGTCAGATATGAGCAATACCCATTTTCTGATTGATCAGATGGATATCAAATGTGTTGTGAGGTAGCCTGTTTGTTTAGACTTTAAGATCAGTCTATCTCGGCCTCCCCATCTTTTCTAATTTCTACCGTTGCAGTCGGAAAAGGTTTCAACAATGAAGTGGTTTTTTATTCGGGAAATCATCAAAAATATACTTTTTTATATATATATTTTTTTAATTATTAGAAATAAATCTCAATTTTTTAAAACCTCATTTATACCCCTTTTCACCATTTTTTTCACACTTTTATGACTAAAACACCCTTCACATAAGTAGCAGGTCCGTGAAGGCATCACGGTCCTTAAAGTCCTATGATGCTTCAAGTGACAATCACAATTCTTTAAGTGCTGTAATGTTTCAAATAACCATCACGGTTATGTTAGTGCCATGATGGTTCAAGTGATCATGTGATACTTCAGAAACCCATCATAGTTCTTTAAGTGCCGTGATGCTTTAAGTGACCATCATAGTTCTTTGAGTACTGTGATGCTTCAAGTAACCATGTGATTGTCTAGAAACCTATCATGGTTCTTTAAGTACTATAATGCTTCAAGTAACCATGAGACAATCCAGAAGCCCATCACGGTTCTTTACATTCCGTGATGCATTGGCTTAGAACCTGCTATAACCGTCACAGCTCTAGGTCAACCATGATGCCTTCACAGATCTAAGACTATTGTAAAAAGTGTTTTCACAAAAAAAACAGAAAAGGGGTATAGATGAGGTTTTATAAATTTAGATTATATTTTTAATAATCTAAAAAAAGATATATATATTTATAATTTCCCTTCCATTTTTTAATAACTTTTGTACAAATTGTAGTAAGTATACACGATCTTACATGGACTAGCCAGAAATAAACCGAAAATAGGCCTTTTATTTCACATCAAATGGTTATAAAGAATTGTTACCGCATTGTATCGAAAATAAATGATCTCATCGTATACAGTCCTTTTACATAAATTTGCCAAAAAATACACGCTTGATTAGCCAAAAAATACAGGCTTGATTGTTGAAGATTGTAACACTACGTCATTCAAATTTTACATCCGAACTACCCATTAGACAAAGGAACCACATAATAACACCATCTACCTCTGGTACCAAATGTCCCTCAACATCCCAAATTCAAAATTTGCAACCGAACTACCCATTAGAAAAACGAAATATACAAGGGGTGGTTTGTACAAGGTTGAAGCGCCAAACAATAAAAGTAAGGCGCACCTTTAACCTTTTAATAATATTGAAAGATATCGTTTCAATATTGAAAATCTTTATAATAACCTGAAATTTTATTTTCATCTCTAATTATAAAATTTAAAGCTTCCAAATGCTATATATCAAATAAATCTATGAGCACTTAAAAATTGACAGTCTAGATAATGCATTACGAAATACACTATTTCTTAGATTTGAATTTTTTTTTTTTTATGTCAATGAATCCCAAAGTCGATCGCGATATTCGAATTTGAGGGTTTTTTTTGGCATCAAAACAACTTATTCCAATGAATTTTTGAAGTGTGACTTTGTTTGATTGTTTAGGGCATCAACCTTATATAAACTCTTTCTATACAACACATCTTGTACAAAAAGGTCAGAATCTCCCTTCGGCGTCAGAAGTGAAATCAGGGCAGCTAGAGGCATATCATCAGCCACGGTCAGAGTCTCGAAAAGAAAATTCCTAAAGCTTTGTGCAAATAAATGGTACACCCCAGCTATCTAACTTACATTGTGATGGCTTGAGGTGCTTGTGACCTTTGTATATAAAGTCGTGGTCCATTGTATTCAGTCATGTAAGCTAAAAAGAAACAACTTAAGCGTTCTGCTAACAACATTCGTTTCCTCTTAAACCATGTCAAAAACTTATCTTACACCTTTAGTACAATGTTGAAATGCCATGAAGCAAACTATTGCACAAAATTCCACAGCAACCAAGCTAAGAATTCTTCCTCAATTCATCTATGCAGACAAACTCAAATATGATGAATCGTCTACAGTTCTAGTACAATATAGAGATTTCCCCTTTTCCCAACAACTCTTACCATCTTCCATGCCAATGTTTTGCATTTTCTATGGCAATTGTGTCCAATTTTTGTAATCAAGAAACTTCACAACTCCAGCCTATCTGATACAGGCAACATATGAAGCAGAATCATGCCCAACACGCGACAATGCCTGCTCAAAACAGAGGCTAATCTCTCTCTCTCTCTCAAAATTTAGAAGTATAAGCTATCTGGTCAAAGTCAAGTCATTGGATACCAACAAAGGTAAGAAGTTTTATGCGCCACCAGCCATATCCATATCTGCAACTCCATCCACATTTCCCTTAAACACAATGCGAAGTTTTCTTAGAGCAGATGTCTTCCGATCATTCAATGTGACAGTGCCAGTGACATGAATGACATCTTTGGGGATTCTACCCATGAGATCAAAGAGAGGAAGCTGCAGATTCGATCTGGTCATTTCTTCAAGTATGGGAGGGGCCTGCATATACAAGTTCTTGCCTCTGTGCACCATGCTTGGTTTCGATATAGGGAGCGTCGGGTGTTCTCTGAGGAGATCTATGAACTGGTCAAAAGCATAAGGATAGAAACAAAGTGTCAAATGAAAATGTGCACGCAAAAATAACAAATTTTTCCCTAGGACATTTGTGGAAACAAAAGGGATTGTCTACTATGACACCATATATCTGTTACAAGGAGGTCATAAATATTCTTACCCATTCGATGTCAAATTAAATGGCTGGGGACGTGTCACAAAGTTCGAGAAATATTTTTGAACTTTGGGTCCAGTCAATGATACTCTCACAATTACCCAATTCAAAATCTGACGGACGAAAGTGAATATGACCTTGTACAAGAGGAAATGGTCTAGATCCCAAAACATAAGATTTAAGGAAATCATTCAAATATTCCTCTTACTAAGCAGAAATTAATCAAAATGCTTACTAGAAAGGAAAGCCAATATCACTGAAGGATTGTTTTTTTTTTTGATAATGTATATTACTAAAGGATTGTTCATGACAAAAAAAGCTGGAACAAGTACCATGCATCTTGCATGCACCGAAGAGAAAAGAAAAAAATACCGTATCTACACACCTTCTGCAGAGAAGTCGTACTGTCCACCTCAATAAGAACGCCAGGACCACAAACAAGACAGTCGTTGTCTTTCCAAAATTCAGTCACCTTCGTGTGAAGGCCTTCAGCACCATTATACCTAAAAGAATGATGAGTAGTTACTAGTTAGAAGATGGCAAGATATGGAACTTTAACATGAAAGCACTATTATCTACCCAAAACCATTAGATAAGGCATTGCAAAAATCAAATCACAGAGGAAATATGCCAACTTGACAAGCACAAAAAAATGTCACATCATGTACATATCCCCAATAATCAGTGGCAAGGAAAATTAGAACAAAAGGTGTAAAGACACACGTTAGGTAGTTGGACAATGATTTGCTGAATCCTGTAGCAATCTTCAATGCTTCCAATGCACAAGCAGCTGATATAATTGCATTAGTTGAGGCAATAGCCGGAATAATATTTTTTACCACGCCCTGCAGAAAAGTAAGAGAGGAGTCATTATTGTCATATAAACTGGAAAGAACTATTTAAGTATTAAAGAGCAAAGAGAATAACAACATACAATATCCATCTCTCTTAAATCATAGGATATGATTACACAAATTGCATGATAGAAAATCCATCCAGTGAAAAAGAAAAAAGGGGCAATTTCCACGAGTCCCTTGCCAATTAGTAAAAAAAGCAGTAGCCAAAGAACATGTGCATTACTTTCACAAATTGGGCAGGTAGATCATGGACCGAAAGCACCATATATAAAATCCTCAATCCACCATACATGATGCACAAAAAGATTCACAAAAAAAAAAGGATGAAATGACAAATTCAAATGGTTCTCACTTCATAAAACTGTGTACCTCCAAATCAGGATAGAGTTGTAATCGGACAAATATAAGCAGGCTACACATGCGGAAACATTTGAGCTTGTGAGGAGCTGCTTTTAAGACAATTTCATACCTGAGTTAAGGAATAGGTAACCCCGCTAATACCAAAAAGTTCAGCTCTCTTAAGCGCCTGTAGCATCAGATGTTTCAAGTACATCACTGACTAAAACAAATACAAATGGACAAGTTGAAGAAATTTTAACTACAGACGATGACAGAACCTCAGAGTAAACCCACTGCATATGTTCTGGATCATCTGCATCAAAAGACTTCCCACCATGCACCTGCAAGAGAATTGCCCTGTAAACCATGCCCCAGCCAATAAAAAAGCATTCCTAAATGAGAAGAAGTGTCAACCAAGTGTTCCTGTGCTTTACCTCATTCCATTTAATTAAATGGGCGTATTCAATACAGTGGGCAGCTGTACGAGGGGTCTCTGCCAGAGTGCATAAAGGGAACTTCACCTGAGGAGGAAAAAGCCATATGGTGCATTCAAAGCATGGGGTGATTCCGGGTAAGATAACTCTAGCATGGCCCTTGAAACCTTCAGTACCACCATCTACCATAGGTTTAATTGTTTCTTCGCATGGCTTGTCATCAGAATCATACTCTAGATTTTCCCAGAGTGATACAAGGCAGATGACAATTCAAACTCAGAAAAGTAGACAGGAATAAACAGCAATTCAAAATAGAAATGTGATGCATTATCTGATAGTTCACTGCAGTGATTAAAAACTCAGAATCTGATCGAACTCACAAGGGTCCCAACCCAATCCGCGGTCTCACTCGGCCGAGACTCCTGTGCAAATTCAATGGTAGGATCCATGGCAGGTGAGACTGCGGTGAGTCCTAGGGGCTTGGGTTTCTAAACTGGACCCCAGTATGGTGCAATGTCCAAGTGGCTTGGGTGAATTCGAGCCTGAATCACTGAGTTTTTGAACAGTGTGTAAAAAAAGGAGATTCTGATTGTTCACGAGAAGCATGTCACATCTATACAAAACATGTACTACAATAACTATAGAAAAAGGAAATGAATATCATTTTAGTTATGCCAAAAACTTCCATGATCCTGCAGGAGCATACTGTCCATTTACGTCCTCGAGTAGAACTTAATATAGGAGTAACTTTAGGATCCCAATTTTTGGGGATGTAACATCATCAACCGATAGACTAACCTCAAAAAAGAAAAGGGAAAGCTTTCTATGTTCCCCCTACAACATAGAAGTTCTATCCTCCCCCTACCATCCAGCCGTTCATTTTTTATCAAGAGAGTCACTCACCGTTTGATCTTAGATCCGACGTTTCAAAGTATTTTATTTTTAGTTTTTTTAATACAAATTTTCTGAATATGAAATTTGGTATGTGCCATCTTCTCATT